TTCTTCTTCTTCTTCTTCTTCTTCTTCTTCTTCTTCTTCTTCTTCTTTCTTTCTTTCTTTCTTTCTTTCTTTCTTTCTTTCTTTCTTCAACTAATCTGGAAACAGTTTTTACTACAATTGCAACATTTCAATCAACCCAAATAAATTTCTAAATCCATTTCAGTTGTCTAGGCATGTTTTCCAGTGATCTGGGCAAAAGGTTTTTTTTTAGTTTTGTTTCAAAAAAAAAAGTTAAATCTAAGTGCATGTTATTTTTAAAAAAGCATCTACTTGTCATTAACACAGGAAGGCCGCTTCCTTCTAAAATGTATCTTCAGCATAAAACAGCAACCACAGTTGCTTTTGACTTCCAAAATACAGTTTGACTTGTTGACAAATACAATGACTGAGTAAAATTCAGCCTGAAGTCCTCACATATCATTGCACAAATGACAATCCTTTTTTCTTTTTTTTTTAGGTTAAATTGTAAGATGTCCACCATGCTCCGGGTTGATAATTACATCATGTTGGCAAAGTTACGCTCACATAAAGAAACTGTGGCAATCCTATTCTAAAATAAGCAATTATCAGCTATTTATCTTTCCCCGCTCTGAATGATAAAGAGTTGTTCAGCTACGCTCTGATGACAGATTATAAACAGTCCTCGACTTACAACCAGGGGAATCAAGATTCAGACGCAACTGGTTCGTATTTATGACGGTCTCTGGAGTCACCTTCGGGTAAGCAAAGTCCATGGGGAAACCCAGATTCACTTAATGTTGTGGTTCCCCGGCAGCAGGTGCGGACGGCTGAGGTCTCGGAGAGCGAGGACTCCGAGGAGGGTCCTGCGTGGGACGCAGGGATGGGGCCAGGACTATCAGAGAGTGGGGTGCTGCCTTCGGAGATTGTGGAGGCTGGCAGCAGTGAGGAAGAGGCCCCCGAGGAGCCTGTGCCCAGCATGCGTGAGCAGCTGCAGCAGCACGGGCGACACGGGAGTAAGGCTGCAAGGTGATGGCCCCTCCCTTAAGGGATAAAAGCCAGCGGAGAAACCGGAGTTCTTTGCAGGAAGCAAAGACGTTTTTGCACTGACCGATACTACCTCTTGCATGAATTACAATTTTTCGTAATAAACAACACCGCAATGTATTTCATGTCCTTTTCTTGTGTATGTGTGGGGGGGGTGGGGGGGGGGAGACACAGGTTTCATACAAACAGTGTGCCAAAACATGTCCTGCAACAACATCTGGGTTGGGCCAAGATTATTAGGGTTTACACTGGCACAGTCCACAACCAATTGCCAAGTGAAAGACAAGAGGATAGAATATTTGTAGCTCAGGGTTGAACTGTGAGGACTTGATGCTCTATGAGTTTGGTGGTTTTCTTGCAGACGTTTCATTACCCAACTAGGTAACGTCATCTGTGCTAGAACAGAGTAGGTGTGCGAGGAGGAGGAGAAGGAGGAGGAGGAGGAGGAGCAGGAGGAGGAGGAGGAGGAGGAGGAGGATTATTCTTGTGTTGTCCTTGGTGCTCTCTGAGCTTGGTGGTTTTCTTGCAGGTGTTTCATTACCAAACTAGGTAATGTCATCAGTGCTACAAGGGATCAGCTGTAGTGTGCAAGGCTGCAAACGAGCAAGAGATTTTGTGTGCATCACAAAACCAGGAGCAACTCAACAGAAGCAGAGATAAAACAACTTTCAAACATCATTTTAAGGGTTGCTCCTCAACAGACTGGCCGGCATTAACACCACATTTCTGTCTGGCCAAAAAAAACAAAACCCAGAAAAAGCCAATTGACTGAGAGTTAATTTGGCAGTGAAATTGCTTGCAACTCTTCCAAGATTGGGCTGCCCTCTAACCAAGACTTTTTAAGCGAATACAAAAGAGTTCCTTGTCTGGCTTTGGTGTAGTGAAGAGACAGGAAGGAGGAGGGAAGGGAGGA